TAACAAGAAATCAGAAACAATTCCTAATGCTTACTTATTACAGTAGTTATAATATAAATACACATATTATTATATTGATTTCAATTAATTAGTTAGAATTAGTCAGAATAGGCTGGAAGAGTATAATTTGTAAGCAATTAATTTCTTAATGCTTTTATTTTTTATTGTTTTTTATTCTTTTCCCCCTTTTTTCTTTTGTATGTTAATAGTTTCTTCTTATTTTTAAAAAGAAGAATTAAACACAATTCATTATTTCATTTTATGATTCATACTGTGTTGTATGTTGCTCTTGATATAGATATTCCACATAAAGTTTAATGGTGATTTTAAATGCTTGTAAATGATAGAGTATATTTGGTTGTTTTTAATCACTTACTGGAATTCTAGAAAATCCCTTGTTTATTCACCTGATTCTCTTCTCCTTCTGCTGATATATTTTCTCCCAAATGTTCATATTTATTTATAATCTATCATCTATATCTGTCTTTATTTTGGTAATCACTCCCTATGCTTTACCCAACAGGAATGGTTATGCATCATTTTAAAATGTCTGTCATCAAGTTTAAAACAGTTATTTCAGTTTGGAATGGATGTTTTTGATTACTTTGGATATTATTTTGAGCTTAAAACTTTTCAAAGTATCTGAAAAAGCCTGGCTGGAATACGAAATAGCCTTTTCCAACTTGAAACAGTTTGAAATAAGGCATTTCAGATAATCAAACCTGAAGCATTTAGCACATCAGCAAAATATATTTTTCACACTCAGATTCTACCAACATTCTCTTCCTAACACTCTTTAGGAATGTACAGATGATTATACACTGTCAATATATATGTAAAAATGTAGTCCTACGGGAATGTATTCAAGCACTTGTTACTATAGATACCACAATCTAAAGTCAAGTCATTTAATGTACACCTGTAATGAAATATTATTTCAGCTTTACAATATAAAAAAGGCATATTCACTTGACTCTGAGCCGCTACTATAGAACAAGAAACTGAGGAGGAGACTACCATACTAGGGGCTGTGGTTATTATTTTCTATTTTTCTGGTATAAATATTTTATTTATTTATAAAATTTATTGGCCACCCATCTTACCATAAGGTAACACTGGGTGGCAAACAGTTAGATAAAAGCTAAAACATAAAAAGTTAAAAACAAACTTCAAAACCAGATCAAGAAACCAATTGCATAAGAAGATAATAACAGTACTTTATTGAAATAAGCTATAGGAGCAGAATTTTGCAAATTTGTTTGTGCTTTACCTTCCCTCATTCTTATACTCTACTGGGTTAGATGGGTCCAACTCCTTCCTATCTCTCTTTTCATGGCTAAATGAAGGTTTCTGTCTTCTAGTTTCAGTAATGGTTTCTGAAGGCATCTCCATCTCTCTACAAATAGTTACCCAAAAGATTTTTAACTGTTGAATGAGTTGGGCAAAATTAAGGGAGTAGTGGGAGTTCACAGAACTATCGCCTTGGGTGGAGAAGAATTTGCTTCCACATTCTCTTATTCTGTAACAATTTTCTACAAACTGAATCTGTCTGCACAGTAAGAATTGGGAGAAAAAGGCTTGTTGAGGGTGCTGCTACTGAGGGAATGCTACCTTCAGTGAACCCAGTCATAAGACTTCTCAGTGATGCTCCCCTCCCCCAACATTGGAAGAACTAAATCCTGGCTATCTAGACCATGCCTTCCTTACTATCCTTTCAGAGAGCTATAAAAAGACAGTTGTTCAAAAAGACATTTTGGGAAAAGTAAATTACTGGTACCCACAAATACCAGTGGAATATTTCATTTTCTACAACTTTTGGGATGGTGCTGGTAGTGATAGGTATCTTATATACCTACAAAATGAGCTGCAAATTGGGCTTTTGGTTTGATCTCCAAGCTTGGCGATTTGGCTGCAAACGTTTCATTCTCCATTCAGATTGGGGACATCTTCAGTATGCTTTGAATTGTGCTCATCTGTCAGAGCACTGGCCTTTAAATACCTTTTTTGTGTGATGTAAATTGATATGGGTGTTATTTGTCTGGATGTTTCTGAGTCATGATCTGGTTTTGGGCTGTTTGATTGGCTGGTGGTTGTTGCTGGGCCATAGTCTTTGGTGTTGAATATTGTCTGTGTGATGCAAATGGTGTTTGTAAATTTGGTTGCCTCTGAGTTATGGTCTGGTTTCGAGTTGTTTGGCTGCCTGGCTGTTGTTGTTGAGACATGGTCTGGTTTCTTATAGGGAGTTGTGATTTTTGTTGCTGTGTGGCATTTTAAATGCTGCCTTCAGGGTTGCGGTTGAAGTAGTTTTTTCATTCTCAGTGGTTGGCAGATTGAGTCAATGTCAATATGTCTGTTTATTGACTTATTGATGGAGAACTAGGCTTCAAGGAATTCTCTTTCTCTCCTTGATTTCGCTTGGGTTACAATTGTGGTTAGATCAAACTTGTGTCCTTCTGAGTCTTTGTGGACAGACATGAGGGATAGTGGGTCATGTCTTTTGATAGCCAGGAAGTGTTCATGCAGTCTTTCTTCCTGTTTGGCCCCCATAGTTCTTTTCACAGTTGCTGCACTGGATTCAGTACATGACGCCTGATCTGTGGTTTGTTTCTGTCTGCTCCTTAGGTTTTGACAGGGTCCATCTGAGAGTTGAGGCTGGTTTGTGGGCCAAATCACCAAGCTCAGAGATCAAACCAATAGCCCAACTACCAACCCGAGCTACTAATATTCAAACATATCTGATCAGTTGATCTAAAATTTGATTTTACTTATATTAGATATAAGAGTTTTGAAAATCCTAAAAAATGTTAAACTGCCAAGAAAGCATCTTTGCATTTGTTTTAATCCAAACTGCTCTGTAAAGACAAAAGTGTCATGTTTCTTATAATGGAACAGTTTCTACACAATTTTTTTTTTAAAAAAAACCTTACATTATTCTACAAACTCTTCCATGCAATATTTGTATTTTGTCATTTCTCTGTATTTTTTTAATCTCTTTTCTTTTCCAAATTTAAAAACAAAAACGAATAGAGAGATGTTCTGAAATTAGAGGTAGAGTTGGGTCACGTCTACAGGATAAAAGGGAGGAAAGAGGAACATGTTTCAGACTTCTTCACTTCTGCTCCCACTGGAACCAGGTCTAAATCTAGGTCACATTTTTCTACATGCTAAAAAGTATTTGAGGGCTGCAGATTCCAATTTTCTGCAATGCACATGAAATGCCTCCCAAATTGCTCTCTGGCTTTGGAAACTGATGCTAGAAAATCATGGTCTTTGAGGTTTCCATGGAGTCTGGAAGGCATCTTCCAAGATCCAATTGCCCCCTTTGAGAGTGGACATTTGTGTCTGCCCTGGAAATCTAATATATTTTATAGTTACTGAGAGGCCTCTTCAAGGCCAAGGAGATTGCATTACTGAAGAACAAAGGGGTCAGCATTAAATAGCAAGGGCCACAGCAGTGAATTCCTAATAAAGGAAAAGAAGCTAACTCCCAGAATTATTTCCACTTCTCTCTATCTCTGTTCTTTTCAATTGTTTCCTGCAGTACATTCATCTGAAGGGGAAATTTTAAATTTCCCATTTCACATCTCAGCTTTTCAACGTGTCAGAAACATTTTTAAGGCTAATTGGCTCTCATCCCAAAGAGTCTAAAACTATGGCAAAAACATGGATTCGAAGAAACAAAGCAAACACACAAACAAAACTGTAGCAAAATATAATCACAATCTCTGCATTTAATGCAAAAATCACCTGCTAGGCTACCCACCAAGAATGTAGTAACATTCTTTGTTTCAAAAGTTAAAGTCTTATCGTTGCATTTGATTCTTAATGCTCATGGAATTTTCACACCCAAAAATGGAAATGGGTTGCATTATCTTCTCCATGATGGCTTTGGTTTCTTTGGTTATTTTAATTTCTCAGTATAATCTTGAAATTCTTGGTTGTTGCCTCTCCATCTAATAATAAGATCCAAGCTTACTTAACTTTTTGAGAACAACCAAAGATGACTAAATATTACTTCTGGGCTGAGCTAAAGCCAACTGGTGGAAACTGCATTTATGCAATTACCTAGCAGTATTATTCTACCCTTTTCTGGGATGCTTTTAAACTTCCAATTTTCTTTAAAAAAAATACAATCCGGCCAATATTCCTGGAAGTTTCAAGTGGTTCCCCATTCAATTTCTAACAAAAACTGTTCTTGCTTAGTTTCTAAGTTCAGCCAAGGTTGTTAGGTGCTACCTGACTTATTGATTTGTACAAAGTCATGAAAATCTTATAGAAGTTTATCCAACAAGAAAAGATATGTTACTGAATAAATCAGAAATATAATACCAATTGACAAATATAAGGACCAAATATGACATATCCCATTTATGAAATTCTTACAATTTAAGAATTGCTTTTCTAAAGCTTGATGGGAAATGATCTAGTTTCTACTATGATATTCTATTAAAGTGCATCCACCAACAAATAGTCATTTAGTTTCTTAGATTAATATAAAACATGGCACTATCGTGCCCATTTTACCGAATGGATATTTTAGCTAAAAATGAACTCTGGTAGTATTTTACAATTTTATGTTCTTTTACTACTGGTATAACATGATAAGAAGCAATATTTTCCCTTTCCCCCTAATTCTGATTTTTAGGGAGAGAATAAAATCACTTATATTTTTTGTGATAGTGGACGTCTTTAACTAAGAAATTAAAGCTTCATAGTTCCAGCAAGTCACTGTAAAATATTTTAAACTGTATACAGTATAAATGAGAAATACAACAATATATATTTAGAGTAGAAAATACTGCAAGATTATTTTTCCCCAGATGATTACTGGATATAGTTTGCTTGCCAATAAAAAAAAATAAGTCTATGGCACCTTTTGTTATAAAATACCATTATCTTGAATGACTATGGTTTTCGCACATTGACAAAAGTGATTCTGTTCAATGAGACACTGAAGATAGACATAGAGCCCTGTCCAGTCAGTTATGTTTTTGATTTACCTTCATTGTCCTTTAATGTAAAGTTGGGATTCAAAGAAAAATTGTCATCCAGAGCAAAATGGAAGCTTCGCCCTTCTGTAATGTCATCTCTGTCAGTGGCACTGATTGTCTGAATAACCTGGAAAGAACATAGGATAGTGGGTGTAATTAATTTTGAACTGGATTTTAATTTTGACAGAACTCAGTAAGATCATGTAAGCTCAGCTTGTTAACATAGTATTCATTTGAGCTGGTGCCAAGTATATTATTTTATACTCTACTTGGCTGGTGTCATTTATTAGTCTGTTAGACTAATTTGGAGAGGACAGCAATTTAAGCAATATCATGAAATGAACTAAATACAACCTCAGCACTCAGATTTATTAATCCAAATATTTTCTGAACAGTGAAGCACCCTGGTGGCACAGTGGTTAGAATGCAGTATTGCAGGCTGATTCTGCCCACAGCCAGGAGTTCAATCCTGACCAGCTCAAGGTTGACTTAGCCTTCCCTCCTTCTGAGGACCCAGATTGTTGGGGCCAATATGCTGACATTGTAAAGTGCTTAGAGAGGGCTGTAGAACACTGAGGAAAAGTATGTAAGTCTATGTGCTATTTCTATTTACATTAATAACTGAACAGGAAAATATTTTATATATGACTTTACATGGGCATGGTTGAGGTCAATAGAATCATAAACCTATTAGGGATTGTAGAGGTTATCTTTAATGTGTTATGTGCTCAGGGAAAGCTCTTAAAATATTCTGAGCAGAAAATTATCCAGTCTCTATTCATCTATTCCTCCAGCAAAGGAAAATGCACCACTTTGTGAGGCAACTTGATGGATTCATTATTGATAGTGTTTAAGTATTTGAAACCACTCCCAATAAGTTGTATAAATCTTATTTAATACTTTTTTTTTTGCTTGCTTGAGATTGCAATGTCATTTTTATCTTCTCTTAAAATGTGGAATAACCATCATCACTATTCCCTCTTTTTAAACAAAATGTGTCCCATAAAATTAAGATCCAGTACATGAAAAAATGGGGCATTTATTTGAAATACATTTGTGCCTTCAAGTTAGTTTTGAATCCTGGTAATTGTCCTCCTCCCACAATTTTCTTAGTAGTATTTTTCAGAAGTAACTTGCCCATTCTTCCTCTTCTTCCTCCTTTTTTGCTCTTAGATTTTTAGCCTGTCCTTTTTTTCATATACAACTCAAAGCAACAACCATACCCAGTTCTGTATCCTCCTCCTATTTTCTTCACAACAGCCCAGGAAGATGAATTGAGCTGAGAGACTGCAACTGGCCCATGGTTTTAAAAGATTTTAGAACTTGCAGTATCCTAGGTTCTAGCCTCATTCATCAACTACTACGTCAGATATGAAATGATAGAGTTTGAAAAGAAGCCAAAAGAATCTTGATGGAATTATAGAATGTTCTCAGAGTAGAAAATTCCATTTTCCAGTAGAGTCAGAAAAACTACTGGAACAATGACACCAATGAGATATACTCTGAACAGATGAAAATCCACATTTCTAGAGAAGAGTCATAAATGAGGTCTTTTCACCCACAATGTCAGTCTCTGGATGGTGTTGCTAATTCACTGCAACAGCAGTTGACATGATTTCCACATGCCTATTTATGCATTGCCAAGGCAAAATGATTAAATCAGAAAAACAGTAACACTGGGGATTATGTTATTTCCCCAATTATAAGTTGGGCCAGAAGTGCAGCATGAGCAAAAATCTGACAGCTACTGTATGCAATTCATTTTATCCCATAAAAAGTGAAGACAAATTGTGGGTACGACATTGTTCAAGCTGGGAAAGGAAACCTTAGGTCTCTGTGCTTGAGTTTGGCAGGATGGGGGTGGATGGGGAACCTCTGCCTATGTCCCTGTATCTGAAGATTACTTTAATATAAATATCTATTCATTTAAGTAAATGCATTATCATTCACTATGAATGTTGTCAAAACTTTTAAACTGTCACAAGGAGACCTACATTTCCCCTTCCCCCACTTGAGACATTTGCAGAACAGTTCTCAGGCATAAAATTGGAAAAAAACAACAACCAGGGAATCAAACAATGAATATGGAGCAAGCTTCCTTTAGATTATATTCTACTCAAGTATTTTGTTCAATATTATAGCATTATTGAGATTTTAATATGAAATGCTTAATATGCTAGAATATTAAATATTAAAATAAATGCATAAATGCATCAAAGAATTAAGTCTTCTGTAATTAGCAACTGACCTGGCTGGGCTTTGCATTCTCACAGACAATGACATCGTAGTCTCTGGCAAGCTCTGGAGGGTTGTCATTAACATCAAGAATTTTAATTTCAACAGGGACATGGCTCAAGAGTCCAGGGCTGTCTGTAAAAAAAGAAAGAAAGAAAACCCAAACATTTTTAATACATACACATGTGCAAATAAAGTGAATTAGCAATTTTAGAATCCATTCAGACTGCCAAAGCTTGTCTTTCCCTGGTACTCTCCATGGTCCTGAAAGAAGTGGGAAAGTAATCCACAACGAAAATGTGCTTCAGAAGAAGGTTTGTAAAATGTAGGAGGTGACTTGCTATAGAAAAAAAGAAACTTTTTCAGAGTCTATTGCATATTCTTATGTTATCAAGAAAGCAATAATCAGCTAATTTTGTTAGAGCTTATAAGTTAATATATAATAAATAATAAATATTAAACCACTCTGATTTTTTTAAATATAAATTTAAAATAAGTAGGCAAATGAATCACAAATAAGCATGAAAGAATATGGAAAGGGTGCTATTCCCCTACTGAAAAAGAGAAAATCTCCATCTATTCTTATCTCAATATGGAAACATTCAACCATCCCAATCTTTTGGTTGCTGTTGTCACTGAAACGTTTGTAAAACTGACAAGCATATGTTGCATCAGTATCTTACTAGCCATCATTGATTACAGTCACAATCCATTCCATAAATTTCATTATTTTAGGTGTTTTATGTGCCTGCCTTACAAAAACTAGGCAGAGAATAAATACATGGAGATCTGATTCATATTTCTGCACACACATGATTTGCTTACTTTTTGAAATACTTGATCAATGTTAATAAAACTTTATTGAATTTCAAAAAATATAAAATACAACAAAGCAAGAAAAAATAAAAGGAAAAAAAGGAAAGGAGTAGGGAAAAAGCAAAATTGGGTGGTGCAGACAAAAAGTGAAAAAGCTATAGAGAAAAATAATAGCCAACTTTCTTTGGTACAAACACAAAGAGAAAAATACAATGATCTTTTGAATCAGAATAAACCACAGCACACACCCTCCGGAACCCCGAGGTTTACTCCGCGATCCAGGACGCCTTCGCTTCGGCGAAGTTAGAAGCCGCCGTCACTGCTGCAACTTAAATTGAACTGTGAGTTTCTTGTAAGCAGACGAACCGACCCTGGAAGTTTGCTTTTTATCTTGGACTTTGCTCTAACTTGGTTAATAAGTTCCTCCCTATACTTGAGGTGGATTGAGTGAAAGTGAATTTAAAATGGCGATGGATTGATACTTTTCAGCAAGAAGTGAAAGTGATTTCCGGTCTGGAACTTTTGTTACTTTTAATACGCTTATTATCTGTTTTGGCTGAACTGTTTAAAAGACCTTTTTACAACTGGAAATTTACTGCTAACATGGCTTCGAGAAAAACCGTGCCTTCAACTTTAAAATCAACTACATCTCCGATGTCACAGCCACCCCAACCAACTTCTAAAATCTCTCATCCGCCACCCCCGCCATCTTCTTCACCTCCACCGCCCTCTGGTAGAGAGTTGCAGGATTTGATGTCTGTAACTATCAAACAAATGACTGAGATGTTTCAAGAGATGGATGCTAAAATGCAAAATACAACAACAACAAGATTTATCGCAGAAACATTAGGGCTTTTGTATGAATGTGACAACCGCTTTTCAAGGTCTGGCTGAATATGTGGATGCGGTGGCAGAAAGGGTGGAGGAGAACGAACAGAGAGCAGAAGTAAGTGATCATAGACTTGAACTTGTAGAGGAGAGTCTGGAAAATGTTAAGGCTGATGTGTTGATTGCTCAATTTCGTGACATGGAGTTTGCAATTCGGATCCGGGAGTTGGCTGAGGATCCAAAGGAGAACTTAAGACAAGTAATTTCAGACGCACTCATGGATGCCCTGGCTTGTGGACAGGAAATTTATTTGGAATTAGAGCGTGTTTTTAGGGTGAATTCTTGGATTGCTCGTCAAAAAAATTTGCCAAGAGATGTGGTGGTCTATTTTACAAGAAAATCGAGACGAAATGAAATAATGCAGCTTTTTTACCA